CTTTAGTTGGAAGGCCTTTAGTTAATCTTGTCTTGTAATCAAAATGTCTTAGCCATAGATGAATTTTCATGGCTATAGATTTCTTAGCCCATAAGTGTTCCATCTGAGAGCACTCATGGAGTTGTGTTTGGGTTGAAAACAAGCAATTTAATAAGTGAGTATGTTCGACTAACTAATTCAACTTTTCCTTGCCTTTATTCCAGAAAATTTTCTGTGGTGGGAGACTGGTCTTCGGTCCCGACGCAGGGTCTATATTTCTCACCATTTCTTAATGTTGGCCTGTAATTGCATTTTGTGTGAAGATATATCTTAAAAGCAGAAGTCTAGAGACCGCTCCGCTGATGTTCGTTTCTGGTATTCTATAATGATTGTAGGCTCTCTTCTCGCTGTTTTGGTAAGTAATCTGTGTTTATTTACAGTAATACCTTTAACATTTTTCTTTCATCATTCTAATTTCCATGCAAATACCCCCAGAAAAATAAGAAAGAGAAAGTACCTTCCTGACCTTCACATGCGCGGATTTGAACTAATTTGCTCACTTTCCTGTCAACTATATTTCTCGTATGCTTAATTCAATGCTGATTTGTTTTTGCAATAACTGCTTATGTGATTCGGATTGTAGTTATTTACACCTTAAAAAAATGGTATGTTTAAGACAGCAAATGAGTTTAATCCAGATATTTGGTGTGCATGGAGGTGTTTTTCAGCTTTCATAGTTGAGGGAGGTACTTGCAAATAACTCAGTCGAAGTTTGGATTTCTCCAAGTTTATAACTATGCCATCTAAGACAAGAAAATTAAAATGAATCCGACTCCCAGGGGCAAAAATGATACTTCCCATAACCCCAGACATATGAATGATTTCATTTTATGATGTGATGAGATCCATAATTATATTATGTTGAAGGTAAAAGTTGATAGAAACTCTTATGCAGGACTTAACATTCCTCTTATTGACTTCTGGGAGAGATCCTGGAATTGTCCCTAGGAATTCCAGGCCTCCTGAGATGGATGAAGAATTTGATATGCATAGTACTTCCATGGAGTGGATTAATGGTTCAACCCCTCGTCTGAAACTGCCTCGAACTAAAGATGTAATTGTTAATGGTCATAAAGTAAAAGTGAAGTTCTGTGATACATGTTTGCTTTATCGCCCTCCTCGGTCGTCTCATTGTTCCATCTGCAACAATTGTGTCGAGAGATTTGATCACCACTGTCCTTGGGTCGGCCAGTGTATTGGAATTGTAAGTTCGCTTCAAATTTGAAAAAGAGATCAGGTTCCTTTTTATTCGTATGAAAATTCAAACCTCAATTTTATGGTGCTTGTTAGCCAGTTTAGAGAATCATAATATAAAAGTGATTCTGGACTCTCCCTTTAAACTTGGATGATGATTGCCATTTGGCAGAAGATGAAACTTATAATTTTCCTTGAATCTACTGAGTGAGTTGTTAGAACGTTCTGCACACTTAGTTACTGGAATGTATAATTTTATTGCTAAGCTTCCTAAATCCTATCAGGTGTAGAAATTAACACTTCTAAACCATTTGACTGACTGACAGGAAAATTTAGATCACTGTTTTATTTTGCTTTGAGAAAGCCTAGAGTGACTTGGTTGAGAGAGGGCCGATGGATCCCACCCTTTCCTAGACATAGTTTACTCTAGGACCATCCGTTTAAATTTCTATCTGGTTGAGGTTATGATGATCAACTGTTACTAAGGCTTACTGCGTGTGACTCCCTCCGACCCTTCTTATTATGGAGACGATGGGAAAGAATAATAAAACTGAATTTTTCATGTGGCTGCTAAATTGGTTGTATTTATTTTTATTATATTTTGTACGAATTAGCAAAATGAATGGTTTGTTTTAATGGGCTTTCCCATGTTTCTTTCGATGCCGTTTCTTACAGGAAATAACTATTCTTGTGCATGATGGTTGTTTTGCAGCGAAACTATAGGTTCTTCGTCATGTTTATTCAACATCGACCATCTTGTGCATATACGTCTTCGTGTTTTCTTGTATCAATCTGGCCCAGGGTGACATTTCATTTGGGAAGAGGATAGCAAGTGATTATGTATCAGATTTTCTTGTAGTATACTGCTTTATAGCTGTCTGGTTTGTTGGAGGCCTCACAATCTTCCATTTCCATCTCATATGCACAAACCAGGTGACTCTCTTGCCTCCCAAAGTTTGAACTTCCAATTCTTTGAGATGCATTTTCCCTTCTGCTTCATGTGGTCTTATCTATAATTTTAATAATTCCTGAGATGTTAGGTGACTGAATTCTTGTTAATTTCACAAAAGCCACATTGCTACAGACCATTTGTTAATTGAAATTAATTATAGGAAATGCCCTTATCTAACAGGTCTAAAAGAAGTCACTGGACGAAAATGCTTTTACGTGGTTGGCACTTAGTTCAGTGTAGCTTCTATGCTGATTGAGTTTCTTTAGGTTAATATTAATGAAGACAAGCATTTGAGATATAAGCAGCTTATTACAACACCTGTCTGTATGATAATTTCTTCCAACACTGGCCATCACGTTTGCAGACTGCTTTCCTTTAACTCCTAGACTGTTGCTTATTAGTTCGAGCTTGCTTATACTAGAACTTTTGTTGGTGCGCAGACAACTTATGAGAACTTCCGATATCGGTATGATAAGAGGGGGAATCCATACCATATGGGAATGCTGGGAAATATTAACGAAACATTTTGCTCCACTATTCCCGCTTCAAGGAATAATTTTCGATCTTTTGTGCTGGATTATCGTCCTGAGAGGGTTGAGTCTGTGACCACAAATTTTGGAGGCAGGGGATTTCTGACACCACATGAGAAAAGTGACCTTGAAATGGGATCTATGCGTGCAGAGGACATTAATATGCCAATTCCTGAAATTTTGAGAAATTTTGATTATGATCATTTCAGCATGAGATTACCAGATGAAGGGCAGTCTTCTTATGATCCGTTTTTCAGTGCTGAGCTAGATATTATGAAAGATTCAGCTCGAACTTCTGCCGCGACAGTGCTAAATTTCCATAGCATCAATGCTGAAGATGAAATGGAAGAGCCACAAAGCTCCCAAGCTGGAGATGGAGTCAGAGAATCAGCCCAAAGGCCCATCGATGTCAACAGAACAAGTGCGACCAAGGAAACTGATGATAAAGAAGAATAGCTCATATTAAGCGCCACAGAGCCAGCTTTTGCTTTGTCAAGCTTAAGAGGTTTTTTCCTCGCTCTTGATTCCCAAACTTTGCCAGTTCTGAAATTTTAATAAGTTATTCTGCAGTGATCTATGGCAAGAACGTGCAGGAGTTTAAAGTTTGACCACTGGCAACTAGACTCAATATATCACTCAAAACCAAGAGGAATAAAAATCAAATTTTGTAATCCTGTATAGTGACCAAAAAGAAGGAAAAAAAAATTGATTTGTGATTCTGTAATAGTGACCTTGATAAACATTTGTAACAGGTTTGCTGCAGCCGGTGGATTCCTTGTTTACCATGAAGTAGTTGCAGCAAATAGTGATTCGTGTGAAGATGAAGATCCATTGTGCAAGCTACATGCAAGTTATTTGATGCCATTTTTGGCCGAAAATGAAGAGAGTGACGTTGCACTTCTCATGCTTGCCAGGGTCAAACAAGTGTTACTGTTGTAAGCTGTAAAACAACACTTTTTGTTCAAAATAATGCACAAAGTTTGTTGTTCCCCAAATGGGTGCTTTGTTAGGTTTGCTTCTATTCTTCCAGCCAGCCGTTTGTTAAGATCTAGATTTGATGTTTGCTCATTTACTAGGGAGAAACTTAGAACTCTTGTAAGTATCACATTTGACAGAAAACTACATCGATTCGTAGATTTCACTCAGCAGGATGTAATTTATCTTCCACTCATCTCACCTCAGGCCTCAGAATCAAGAGAATATTCATTGAACATTGTAAACCAAAAAAAAGAAAAAAGAAAAAAGGAACATAGCTAAAAAGATCCATCAACTCAAAAGAAAAATCTTGGACAAAGGGCCTAGAAAAAGTTGGGTGCCTGTGAAAACTACAAATGGGGTCGCTTCACTTCACTTAACCCCAGAACCGAAGAAAAGACAAGTTTTTTAGGGTGTCCTGTAACAGTGTAACGCAGAGCGAGCATATCGCCGAAATGTGGTTCCCATTTTGAACTGCTGCTTCTTGTTACTTCATTGGGTTGTTTTATCCTCTATACGCGCATGAAAGATCAGAGAAAATATCACCTGCAAAGAGCTAGGTTATTGCCCGAAGAAAGAAATGAATTGGAAGGGAAAATTAATCTCTTGCTCGCTATAATTTTTACTCATTTGTAACTCAGTCTCCTTGGCTCGGTATAACTCAGTTTTTTAGTTTTGACTCGATTGTAATTCAGTCCTTGAAGTTTGACTCGCTGCAACTGGTCCCTATATAATTTTATTTTTCACAAATTTATAAGTTAGTCATTGTGTTTGTGAAAAATAAAATTATATAGGGACCAGTTGCAGCGAGTCAAACTTCAAAGACTGAATTACAATCAAGTCAAAACTAGAAGGATTGAATTGCATCGAGTCAAAATATAGGAATTGAATTATAAATGAGTGAAAACTATAAGGACCAAAAGATTAATTTTCCCGAAAAAGGTTGTCAAATTTTTTAAAATAAACTAAGTCAATGAAAAACATAGACCACTTTTAATACGGGGAATAAATCTTTGTAATGTTCTTCTCATTAGACTCTGATAAAAGTTGAAGGGGCAAAACTGAAAGAAAATACGGAAAATGAAAAATAAATATCCCAAGAGAAGACCGCGAGAATGGAGACGCAGATAAATGAGGGCCACAAAATCTGATCCGAATGAAATTATCCCCGCCAATCATTCAATGAGAATGATCTCACAAGAGCTGCCACGTGTCAAATTTCGATTTACGGTCACGGATTTCATCGGATGAGATGGAATGCGATGACTGTCCATCCGACCAAGATATAACTCCAACTTCTTCCCTTTGGCACTCCTTGGTCTTTAAGCTCAAATCTGCAGAATTTCCTCCGGAGGATCAATGGCAGCAGAAATGGCTCTTGTGAAACCCATTTCCAAATTCAGCAATGTTACTCCCAAATTCGGGAACCCAAGGATGGGTTCATACACCAAGTTCAGCATCGTAAGAATGTCTGCCTCATCCACCGCTACACCCACAAAGCCGAGCAAGAAAGGTAACAAAACTGCCATCAAGGAGACCCTTTTGACGCCGAGGTTCTACACCACAGACTTTGATGAGATGGAGACACTTTTCAACACGGAGATTAACAAGAACTTGAACCAGACTGAGTTTGAAGCTCTGCTCCAGGAGTTTAAGACTGACTACAACCAGACGCATTTTGTGAGGAATAAGGAGTTCAAGGAGGCTGCTGATAAAATCGAAGGACCTCTCAGGCAAATCTTCGTGGAGTTCCTTGAGAGGTCTTGCACTGCTGAATTCTCTGGCTTCCTTCTCTACAAAGAGCTCGGAAGGAGGCTTAAGGTGCGATGCTCGGTTTCAACTTTATTATTTGATTTTTTCAACTGATAATCGAGGTTCTGATTAGTTAGGATGGAAACGATTGCTAAAGTTTTGAAACCATTCACCAAAAAGACCAAAAAAAAATAAAAGGAAGTTGGGACGTGGCAAATGTTGCTCTTCAATTTAGTTTGACTACAAGTTCACCGATAAAACCTAGTCGTGTCTTGTTGCGCTGTGTGCTGAATCTCTATCATTATCGGTGCTTCCTTGGCTACGTGGGGGCTTAATTAGCTATTAGCCATGTCTTTGAGAATGTAGTTCATGCTTTATCTTAAAATAACTTTTTTAGTGTTGTTCTGTGTCTCCTATTCCTGGACTGATAAATTGGTTGGATTGTTAATGATTATATTACAGAAAACCAATCCAGTGGTTGCTGAGATTTTCTCTCTCATGTCAAGGGATGAAGCAAGGCATGCAGGGTAAAGACGCAACTTGATAGTTATAATTGCCATCGAAATTTTCTTTTCCTCTTATGATCAATTGGATGGTGTATGAGCTCAGTGTTAAAAATTTAATGCAGGTTTCTAAACAAGGGTTTATCTGATTTCAATTTGGCGCTGGACTTGGGTTTCCTGACAAAGGCTAGAAAGTACACATTTTTCAAGCCAAAGTTTATCTTCTACGCAACATATTTGTCTGAGAAAATTGGATACTGGAGATACATAACCATATACAGACACCTCAAGGCCAATCCCGAGTACCAATGTTATCCCATTTTCAAGTACTTCGAGAACTGGTGCCAGGATGAGAACAGGCACGGAGACTTCTTCTCTGCTTTGATGAAAGCTCAGCCACAATTTCTCAATGACTGGAAGGCAAAGTTGTGGGCCCGTTTCTTCTGTTTATCGGTGAGTTTTGCCTATGCACACAATGTCTTTTACAGTATTGTGTTGAAACCTTCATACTTTGTGCCAGTCATCGCGCCTTGTGAAGTTGCTATTTGAAGAGCAGTATTGAGAAGGGGAAGAGTGTGCAACGAATATCAAAGATATTATCTGATAGAAAATCAGTTCATTGATGATAGATACAAAGCATATTAGAAGTAGATTCCACTGAAAAATGTGCTTAGCATGCTTATGTATCTATTAATCAAACTGTATCTATAGTTATACTTGAGGATATCTAACAGCAAGCATATCCAAGATGCAAAATCTTGTTCACCTTAAAACACCCGACGATCTGTTGCCATTTTTATTTATGCCAAATGTCTTCATAGTAGATTGGTCATTATTTTTCGATCTCTGGGTACTAAAACTTAGCTCTCAATTTTATCCTGCAGGTCTATGTCACCATGTACCTGAACGATTGTCAACGCACAGCTTTCTATGAAGGCATTGGGTTGGACACCAAAGAATTTGACATGCATGTCATCATTGAAGTAAGTTTATGCTACATGTTCTTGCATCCTACTTTAGAAAGCATTGTTGCAAATATAAATTTCAGTATTTCACTGTCACCTTCTGTTAATAAGTTTGAGCAATTCATGGTTGTAGCAACAGAGTTTTGTGGATTAGTCCGTTATAAAACTAAAACCATATTCTTAGCATCATAGAACAAGGCAAGTAGCTCAGAGAATAACTAAAGCTGCATTCTTGGATTGCTGTATTTGCAGACAAACCGCACCACAGCGAGGATTTTCCCAGCGGTTCTGGATGTGGAGAACCCCGAGTTCAAGCGGAAGTTGGATAGAATGGTGGAAATAAACCAGAAGCTTGTTGCTGTTGGTGAAACTGACGACATTCCCTTGGTGAAGAACTTGAAGAGGATCCCACTAATTGCGGGCTTGGCATCTGAGCTCTTGGCTACATATTTAATGCCACCAATAGAGTCCGGATCTGTGGATTTTGCAGAGTTTGAACCACAGCTTGTGTACTGAGCAGGCATAAATCCCTCATAATCCCCTTCTTCTTGTTCATCTGAGTGCTATTGGTGTGAAAAACGTAGCGAGGAGTACACAGCACTGAGAAAACTTTGAAATGTTGTCTTGTGTATTATTTGTGACAATAGAGTCCATTAGTTCACTCGTTAGTTGGATGTCCCTAGTTTTCTTTTATTTTTGACTTTAAGTTTATTCGAGGGCATTCACCCAATGAGCTTAAAAGTCAGAGAGAACCATTTCCTCTGTTCAATCCTTTAAAAAGGGAAGAAAAGGAAAAACAAAGTACGTTGATACTAATGCTACCAACCCATTTCTTAACTTCTTTTTCGGTGTTTAGAATTGTTTCAAGCCCATGTCCATGGACATCGCCTTCGAACCGGGTACTCCGTTATGGCTGTTAATATGGTATCGGACTGGGTATTCTGTGATGACGATGAATATGGTAATACTAAATATTACAAGCGTATTTGATCCCTGAAAACTTTTAAAACAATGACTTTGGTGGCTTCTAACGTAATACAAGATTTTTCACTTAGATCTCCTATTACTGATAAGTAGAGGTGGTAATGCGGGCTGACAATACGGATATGGGTCAGCCCGCGGCTGTGCGGGCCCAAAGTGGTGCGGACTGAAGTAGCCCGCACCTTGGCGGACTGGCATGAGCCCGCCTACATATTCTTTTCTTTTTTTAAATAAAAACTATTATCTTTAATATAGGTTGAGTTTAATTTGAAATGTTAAAATTAGGTTTTGAATCTTGAATGTAAGTAGTGAATTATGATAAAATAAAGTGAAAATTAATTTATAATTTAAGAATATATTTTTAAAAACTAATATATTTTTTATAAGTAATTAATTTAACTAGTTTTTTATTCAAAGTAATTTAGTTTTCTTATCCTAATTAATTAAGTAGATATTTTATGTATAAATGTATAAGTATCACATGTTTATTTAATTTTATAAAGGCTTTTATAGTGACACAACAAATAAATGAAAAATAAAAGATGGATGACGATCTTCATATAACTATACACAGAATCACAAATATAGAAAGTGTTTAATTACTTATGCAATGATATGAAAGAAGTAATGTTTAATTGTTCATGTGGAATTTGAGGGTCAAAATATTTTAACTATATTAGGAATTATATGAAAAATTAAATAAATAAATAAAAAGCGGGCCAGCCCACGGCGGAGCGAGCTCAAAACGGTGCGGGCTAGCATATTGCCAACCCGAGCCCGTAAGCCCAACCTGTATTACCAGCTCTACTGATAAGAAAGCATATTGGTGTAGGATTCCCCCCATGTCACATTTTACTGCAGCTAATTTTATGATTATTGACCAAAAATATTAAGAGGAGATGAATAATTGATTCCTTTGGTTGAGGAGATGAAGAGGATTGAGCTGGAAAAGGAGGAAGAATTATATAATCATGTTATTTGCAATTGAAAGCTCATGCATGATACATAGGCTATTAAGAATGGGTGCATCATTAAAGAATGGATATTGTCAAATATTGGTGGGAAATTACGCATCAAATCCAGAGCATTAAGAAAGAAAATTAATGACGCAATTGTTCTCACTCGCTATAATGTAGATCGCCCTGATATTAACTGTATCAGCCTTGTCTCTTCAAGCTTGCTCTGGGAACAAGTGACACCTATTCCCTCCTTTTCCCTTGTATCATTCTTTTTGCTATATTCCTTTCACATCACTTCACCTTAGACTCCCTTCTAAGTTCTAATCCAATCTCTCTCGAGTTCATTTTAATTTTAAATTTTAATCCCCCTTGCTTTTCGTTTCTTTTACTTCGTCAGGTGAGCATAGCTTTATGTTACATCACCGGCTATCCATCACTGTAATTTATGTTTTGCGCTTGATTTGTCTTCTTTTACAGGCCGTACTAACAATTTGAAGGTCCATACTGCCAGTACAGTGGCCTCCATAGGGGCAATCCAGTATACAACGAAGTGTTCCTTGGTTACGTGATCCCCGCGAGCATAAGCCCACCCCATTACCTGAACAAGTGATTTAAAGTTTCTGATCAGAAAAAAGAAGGGTTTTTTGTTGTGTGATTTATGTACCAAAAAAAAGAAAGAAAGATCAGGAAGATATAGTAGTTCTTACAGAGGCTGGATTCATACAACCACCAGTTAGATCAGAACCAAATATGTGAAGTGCTAGCTTGCAGACACTGGAGATCCAGGTCTTCATGAAGAAACCTTCAGGGATTTTTGTGCCAAGCCGAAGTGATATGGTAACAACTGTAAATGTTAGGATTCCTTCTATCAGAGCACCTCGATGAATGTCGATATTCAAACGTGGTCCCCGTCCTACTTCCGGAAAGGTATCAATCATAAGCTTGACCCCCATAATAGATCCAATCACCTGAAAAAGAACGGAACAGAACCATAACCATGGAAATGCTGATCCTCAATTTAAGTTTTTTGCCGAAGATATTATATCCTGAGAATGAGATGCATGATAAGAAAAATTTTTCAGCCACACAATAACCGCAGAAACTAGAGACGATGATTTGTACACGTACAACTTTCAAATAAGGTAAGTGGTTTCTTGGATGGTTATCTCATCAATTGATGTGGTCTCAAGATTGCTAGAGATCTTCACTTATGATGAAAAATCAGTTTATAAACAGGCCACTCAGGATTTTCCCCTCTTTCGCAACTAAAATGCATACATGGTAGGAACCTTTCTGTCAGAAAACACTGTCGTATTTTTTTTTTTTCGTCCTAAAACCCGTCACCAGGTCACATGTAGATTGATGCAGTACAGCTCTCCACAAATGATAGTGACTTCAATCACTATGGTTTTATCTTCAGCTGACATGCGTTTGATATACATTTATTGTGTAAAATCAACGTGGGAGTCTGTGGATTTGTGAATGTTCGTGAGAGAGGGGGGATTAATAGCAGTCAAGCAGTTGACTAAAGAAGCGAGGCCTCTAAATTCTAGCAAAATGATGGTTTTGGACGCTGCAGATATGAAAAGATGTAGTTGACAAGTGTTTGCAGTCAATTTTTTTTTTTTTTTCAAATGATTAAAGAAAACAGAAGAACTAATTCACAATCTACTGACCTGAACAGGAATTCTAACAGCAACGCAGTAAAGGAATTTGCTTAAATCCCCCGAAACAGCATTAGCCAAAACAGTGAGTGGATTGTAGGCGCCCCCACGGGTAATGATTAGGAGAAACGCAAAGAAGAACATGTTAGCAATGACGATCGCAATCTTCACGATCTCACGGAGTGGCTCACGACTCAATCCCAGATATTTGTTTGCCACCAGCTTAATCAGAACCCCTGAGCATACCCACATGAATGACAAAATGAAGTCTGATACGAGCAGCATAGTCCGCCCCATCCTCTGAAGCAGACGGAATCCCTGTGTATGGCACTCTATATAGTCTATGCTCGAACCAGGCTTCTTAGTAGATTCGTTCTTCACTATTTGCCATTGCCATGAAACATTGCTGGTTCGAGCCTCGAGGAATGTTATCTTCATATGTGCTGGATTTCGTTTCCTTCCCCATGTTGATCAATAATAATATCTAGATATCTTGCCTCCGCGTTGCACAGAAAATTTGATGGCAGTGTCCACTTAGCTCAGTTAACTCAATTATTTACCCATATTTTAAAAATTGGTTGAAGTTAATTTTTTCATTAAATTTATTCCAGAGTATAATTTTTTTTCGCGTTTGTCAAAATAATTAATGCTCGACAAACCTGTCAACCATTTATATTCTGAACTAAAGAAACAGTCCTGATAGGCGAGTAATATTTTATTATAGTGAACTGTAGTAATAATGTATGGAAGATATATGTAATGCAAATAATAATTAAAAAAAAAATAGCTGGAGATTTGGAAAGGTGCTAACAATTTATACATTCCTTCTTGCCCTCGGAATATATTCGCCTATAGTTTTTTTATTTCCTTATTTTATGAGTCCCCGTGGAATTGGAATACATTCATCCATTCTTTTTTTTTAAATTTGAAAACACACACAAATATATTAACATCGCACTTAAGCATGATATCTATATTTATTGAAAGTTGATTATGATTTACTGCAGGACACCAGGAGAGCTTATGGCAGAACCTTCGGGACCAATGTGAAATTTATTGAAAGGTAAGAGGCATAAATGCAATTTTTCACATTTACTCTCCACCGTGATAAAATTTAGCCATTTTCTTGAGTCCGAAGAAAAACATTTCGCCCTTTTGCTTCTTGCGGTGCCGAAGAAGCCCGGGTAAGCGGCATAAGACGGACAAAGTAGATTTTGAACAAGTTGATCGTTTGGAAGCATGAGTAGCATTGGAACAGGTTACGATTTATCAGTCACTACATTCTCTCCTGATGGTCGGGTTTTCCAGATCGAATACGCTGCCAAGGCCGTCGACAATAGCGGGTACCTTGCTTTTGCTCAGTTTGCTTCCTTTTCCTGCATTTTCACTTTTCTTCTTTGTGTATGTTCAGTGGAAAAATGCTGTGAGAGAAACAAAATAGGATTTTTAATGTGTGTAATCGCTACCTAGGACTGCATGAAAATTTACTTTCGTAACAGTGAAGCCTTCGCCGGGTTTTCCTGACTCAATTAGGGTAAAATGTTGCTTAGCCTTTTTGCGAAGAACTTGAATGATGGCGTTAAGATGCACGGATTTGTTTTTCTTGGCAGGACCGTCGTGGGTATCAAATGCAAAGACGGGATTGTGATGGTAAATACTTCGATTTTGCTAAGCTCATTTTTTTCAGTATCCATGCCTCTTCGTTTTTGAGCTTTTCCTGGACTATAGGGGGTGGAGAAGCTTATTCCGTCGAAGATGATGCTGACGGGTTCCAATAGAAGAATACACTCTGTTCATCGCCACTCGGGCATGGTACTATATTGTCTACAGTACTCTTTTTTTTTTTTTTGGTAATACTCTTTCGTTCCGTCGAATCATTTAATAACCGCATGTAATGTAATTAAAGAGACATGTTTGACATGCAAGGCATGTATGAGTTAGTGAAGTGTGAATGTTAACAGAATCCATGCTTTATACGCTGCTGATGGTAGTGCTTTCGGGATCCCCGATCATGTCAAAATAACAAGACTCATTCTATGCATGATGAAGAAAGAGCTTTGAATGTGTATTATTCTTCTGAATTTCATTATGTACATCTACTTACGGGACAATAACCAAGAAAGAGAAAATAAAACTCATTAATGCATGGCCAAAGAACAAAGCAGAAATATAACAATGAATATTCACCCAAAAAATATTATAATAAGACAGAAAAATCCTCCTAAATTGTTGGGGGGGGGGGGCAGGAAATCCGTCCATGAGCATGTCTATACACTGTATTAGAAGCCACGCGAATCTTAATACTAAATGTGGTTAAGGAGAAATTCGTGGCTACAGAAGCTAGTACATACATATAGCATTGTAAATACTTAATTTTTTTAAATTTTAACATGTGCTTTCTTTTATTACTTTTTAGCTGCTTTATTGCCCTGGCATAATTGAACATGGATTTTCTCTGTGGTCTTAGTAGTTTACCTTTTTGTCCCAGTCAGAGATTAAGTATTCTTCTTTCTTTTCTAAATTTCTTTTTCGTGTAATCATGACTGTTCTTCCAATCTTAGGCTGTGGCTGGATTAGCTGCCGATGGGAGACAAATTGTTGCCAGGGCTAAGTCTGAGGCAACTAACTATGATAGGTTTGCTCTGTATTCCAGCAACATCTTAGGATGATTCCCTTCCCCCTTTATTTTCACTTCTTGTGTTCATATTTATATGTCTTCATCAACTACCTACATTCTTTAGTTTCCACCCTGATGTAGCACTGGTATAAAACATACGCAGACTTATTATATCTCTATAGAAACACAGTTCTCACTTTTTAGGTTTTCTTTCTGTTAGTTCTCTGTAGTCTTCTATATATCCTTCTCAAGAGAAATAAATAGCAGGTGGGAAAAGTCATCACTTTTCATTGTTTTCCTACCCTGCTTAAATAAGTTTTGGTTTTTGAGAGCATATAAAGAAACAATTGGAATGACGTCCACATATTTCGACAGTTCTCTAAGCTAACAGACAGAATATAGTATCAGCATGTACGGTTTAGCTTGTCCGAAAATGACAGTAAACATGATGCTTCACCCTTAGAATGTTACAAACATACAAATATATCCATATATCTTAAACAATTAATCTGTGGAGTCTGGTTGTTGAATCTCAAAGCCAATAGTAATTTATTTGAAGTCCTCGTCCTAGGGACACTACTTAATGTGTTGTCTTGTAGTTTCAATGTGCTAGTGATGTAAATTAAAGTATTAGGTCTTGATATATGTTGTTCAACTTATGGAAAGAAATGATCTCACCTAGATTTATTATTCTTTTTCAGTGTGTATGGTGAACCAATTCCTGTTAAGGAACTTGCTGAGCGTGTGGCTAGTTATGTGCATCTTTGCACGCTATATTGGTGGCTCAGGTTTATTAAGATTTGACTGTCATTCACTGCTCACTTTCAAATTGTATTCCTCGCATTTAAATTAATTGAGAGAATAATAATGTTGCTGCAGACCATTTGGTTGTGGTGTCATATTAGGAGGTTATGACAGAGATGGACCACAGCTGTACTTGGTTGAACCTTCTGGTGTTTCCTTTGTGAGTCCACTTTTGTTTATTGCTATTTGTTGTACGATTGATACTTCCTTTTTCATTAAGATTCTTTTTACTACAGTTTCATCTGTAATTTACGTGCTTACATGTTTGGTATTTGTCCTAGAGGTATTTTGGTGCTGCAATTGGAAAGGGTAGACAGGCTGCTAAAACGTGAGTGCAATTGATTCGTTAATTCATTGTGCTAGTACTCATTTCTTATCAGATGCATCCCCAAACATTTAAATTTGCTTATCTGTCTTTTTAATGCAATAAAGTATACAGTTGCTTCTCTTTTGTTCCACATGATAGAATTCATTTTTTTGAAACCCACATGATGAAACCTTAATATAAATTCATTTATAGTAGTTATGCCCTTGTTCTCAAGCAACCAGAACATGTCAAACTTGTTTCAGTGTGATGGTAAGTTTTTCAATTGTTATTATAATGCTTGGCAGGGAGATCGAAAAGCTAAAGCTTTCTGAGATGACTTGCCGACAAGGGGTTATTGAAGTAGCCAAGATGTAAGTAGTATGTATTATGTATTTGAGTAATTTTATTGTCAATTTACAATGTTATCTATGTCATCTATACTTGGTAACATTTTATACTGGAATTTTGTGAGTTTGTGGCCTTGTGTTCTGTTCTATGCTATGAGTATTGGATGATAAAAATCTTGGCTTAAACTTTTAAATCGTTAGGGAAATGAATGTAATAGTGGAAGAGTGGTTATAAACTTATAATTAGTGGAAGAACAACATGAGATGGTGCAGTTTTTCGATGTACTGCAATTCAATGACATTTGTCCAAAAGCTATGGAATTCAGTATACACGTTAAAGCTTCAGGCTTTACAATGTACTTGCTTGTCCATATCGGAATCCCTGAAAAGTCAACTATCAAGGGACCAAACTAAAGTTTTATCCATCAAGAGAAAAGTGGTGATAATTTTCTGACCACTGCCTGGGATAATTTACCTGTTTCGGCAATGGCTGTGGCCTTTGAGCTTCTGAGTTTCTTTGTGTTATAGGGGTACTGAAAGTTGTTTTGTTTCTGTAATTAATCATTATAAATGTTCTATTGGATGATTAACCTTGTAAATGATTGATTTTGTTACTTCAATAGGGGAGAATTTGTTTATACAGAAATTGTATCTTCTATCGAAGCTGAATGCTATAATTAAATTTTTAATTGCAAAAAATATGCCTTATTATTATTATTATGATGATGATGATGATGATGATGATGATGATGATGATGATGATGCTGCCGTGCAGTATATATGGAGTGCATGATGAGGCTAAGGATAAAGACTTTGAGCTAGAAATGAGCTGGGTCTGTGATGAATCAAACCGCCAACATCAAAAGGTAATGCTCATCCTGCTAAGGATAAAATTGTCATTTAAGATGTTGGGTGTATGTGGTTTTATTTGCAATTAGCGATTAGCGAAGATCTGTGGATTTGTTGCCTTTTCATTTACTTATCTAGCAATTTGTGGTTGAATTTCAATTTCTATTTGAGGGTTTGTTTTAGTCCTAAATGTGAGACCTTTATCTACTTTGCCTTTTAAATTTATATTTTTTCTCCAAATTATCGCTATTGATTGCATAAATTAAATAGAGTTTTCCCTTAAGGGGACTAGTTTTGGATGGAAACAATTTAAGGGGATTTTTTGGGGACACTAATGCACAATTTTTATAGATAATTAACTTAACTAAATTTTTTAATACCTATAAATGAGTTATTTAACTTCTATATTTAGGACCAAGGAGAGTAGGAAATGAAATGGCTTTTGACAGTCAGATGATGGTTAGGGAAACGAATCATATCTGGAGCTGGCCCATCCTCTTGCATTACAGCACAGCACCTTCTTCATGAGATTCGGCTAGGGCATCACTATTTTATCATCTTATTTATTTCATTGCACAAGAATTCAATCCAAAATGGCTTAGTCCGTGGATTATGGATTTCTGCTTTTTGTTGGTTTTATAATCCTCTGTTTGCGTCCTGCAAATTGTCCCTAGCTTCATCGAGAGGAACGCCCTAACCCTCATGTTGTGTTGTGTGAATTGCCGGTCACCACTGCCCTAGTGTAACAATTATTTGTGCGCATTTACGGCTTATCGTTGTCGTTTGCAAGCCCGTAAATAACATATTTCATTATAACCGTCTACAGGTCCCAGATGAGCTGTTAGAAGAAGCCAAGGCGGCGGCCAAAGCAGCCCTTGAAGAAATGGATGCAGATTAGCAGAGTAAAAAAAAAAAAATTTTATTCAAGTTCATTATCTACGTAAACATTTAATCAACTACCTGTTACATCAATAGAAAGTGACATGCCGTCAACAGTTATGCATGATTTGGTCCCATGTATTGCATTTTTGCCTAATAGGTTAGCAAATGCTTGAAAAACTCGGTTGGCAAAAGGGTGCAAGTTTCCTACTCACCTTTGCATGTTCAAGGTAACTTTTGCACGCCGCTAGCTTCGTGAAGCTGGTGGGTTTATTTCCCTATGGATATCAAGGTTAACAGTCTCGAAAGCATTAGACCCCCTAGAAAAACATGCCGGAAGACCATGGCGAGATAATGCCGCTCATACATGGAAAATGGGCAAGCTAAAAGCGAAAGGGCAGGATGAATGGTTGATATCTCACGTCTGTTTTTATTCTTTTGTTTTCTTAATTACAAAAGGCAAGCTTTATGGGTTGAAAAAAACAAGCAAAACACACAAGAACAAGTCAGCGTTATCAGGCCGTAGGACCATTAGCAATATAGATTGAACCAAGCTTTGTCCCCCTCAATGGGCAACTATTCCAAGAAAAATGTAAGGGCAAAAATTTAAAACTACCTCTCTCTACTCTGAACGAGTGAATAACATTCAATAAGTCCAAATCCTGACAGATCAATTTGAGTAAGGGAAGAAAAATAACATGACAGAAAAGCAATGATGGTTTAAGCGGCTTGATCTGAAACCTCCAAGAACACCAAACCAACCCATTTACAGAAAATGACTACCCACAGTGCAGCATGAATCGCTCAAACCAGTCTTGAACCACTAGGGCATGCCAAAAGACCTATTATCTTTACAAAAGGAATATTGTTATCAATATAGCTTACATTGATAGGAATCTCATAAGAAAATTGTAAAGGAAAAAAACAAAAAAAACAAAAGTGATTTGATGCTTTAGCTCCTCAACAGGCACAGGTATACATCGTATACCATCTCATGCTCCCCAAATGCCTCCGATCAGATTTATGTGATCAAAGTATGAAACCATTGGTTTCCAAGTTTTATTTACCACCAAAAAATTCAATCATTGCAATGAGAAACATGTCATAGATGATCAACAGTGCTCTTTCCTGGAGTTGGAATCAATTAGAAAGCCTAGCCGGTAGCATCGATTTCTTTTCCATGATCTCCATCATGAATATTTCTCCTCAGCCTTCTTAGCCATATATCATAGTCCATGGGATATGGTGTTCCACACAGACTGTCAACATAGTCAGCAAAAGCTTTCAGCACTGTAGAGATATCACCAAGCTTTTGCTGAATTAATCTCCTTGACCAAGACGTCTCTCTCCATTGCAGTGCTCCCTCAACTGAATCTAGTTCAGGATAGGCCCCACCACATGAAAAATAAAGCATATACACTAGGCTTTCTGCATCTGAAGCCGAACACAGCTTTCCTTCCTGAAGTGCGTAAGTTGAAGAGAAATGAAGGTTCATAGCAGGGCGATCCCTATCTTCAAGAATTGCATGCCCCCAACCAATTAGAACAAAATAAGGATGCCTCACACCAGACTTTACGCAAATTACATTCTCAGGCCTTATGTCCCCATGTCGAATTCCAGCAGAAGCAGCTGTTGAGAGTGCTGATAAGCAGTCATGGCAACATCTAATAGCCTCATCCGAGCCAAATTGGCCTTTGCTCACCATTTGAGCAACTGTTTCACCAACAGGACTGGTCACAAGAATAGGAGTCCCACACCAAGGGTGGTCGCAATTTCCACCTGAGTTAGGTCTTTGACACTGACCAGGGTGAATAATCCTACCAGATGCACTCAGTTGAGGGATATATTTGCTTGAAAGACCTTTCTGTTTCATTACTGTCAATACCTTTGTCTGCCTCTGAACTTGATACCACAAGTTCATATCTTCCCAAGCAGGTTCCAGAAGATGAGAACCCACATACAGAAAAAGATTTTTTGCTGGCTCTTCAACATAAGATGCAATGTAATATGTCAATTCACCAGTGGTGATGACTTCTTTTATCTGATAACCCTTTTGCAAATCTGAATCCTCCAGCCACAATACGGATCCTACTTCTAACTTCATTGACTCTTTGGGCTCAATTCTCACAGAATCCTCACGAACTTCAACAATTTCTGGGGAAACACTTCTCTGCTGATGTCGGAATAGACCATTTTCATTCACACTGGTATCCCCTAATTGCCTATCCACTCTTCTCGTTTGGAGACGCAAACTGTGATCAGCAGCTAAATCCTCAATAGAGTGCTTGGGTTGTCCAGCATACTGCACTATACTGTGGAAGGTTGCAAACAGCACCTGTAGAGCACCAATGTCCCCCCAGTTTGCATTTCCGAGTTTGTTCCAGATTCTATCAATGGGAGAAACAGCAATTCTTGAATGATTTTTCACCCATTCAGCTGCACATTCATAAACATTATTTGTATCAAAATTTAGTTTATTTACATCTCCTTCAACCTTTACAACTCCACCATATTGAGAATCAACTAGAACAACAAAGACTGTGTTTGGATCCTCAAAGAAATTCAGCCTGCTCAAACTTCTAGCCAAGAGCATGCGAAGAGCACAGAAAAGAGCATCCCCAAGAATTGATGAAGATGGCCTGGAGTCCCTGCCCTCCAGACTTTTGATATCAGGCCTTAAAAGAGCTATTTCAAGGACATGATCCCATTTTCCATGGGGATGTCTAGGATTATTGAGTAGTATACCAGTAGCACAAAGACCTCCAAGCTTTCCATTAGCAATTGCCTTCTCAGCCTGATAAAACTTCATGTTGGAATTATACAGACAGGCCACTGAAAAAGGCATGGGGTCATCTTGACTCCAAAAAGCCTCCCATAAGCCCTTCACGCTTGCATGCAGAAAATCTTCAATTGCAAGATAAGCAGTAGCCTCTACAGTATCAGATGTAGAAGCATGAACAGCATTAGGCATGCGTATTAGTTGTTGAAATGAAATGCCTTCCAGTGCATAATCAAATTTTTGTAGTTCTATCAGCTCAAAAGGAACATCGAAGGCATGTTGTTTTGGTGCACATCTTTCTGCTAGAGATTCAAACCAGTCCACAAGTTTTTCAGTCAAGTTGTCACTCTCAAGAAATCTATAGAAAAATTCCTTCTGATTTCGAGGCCTGCTGCCTGATGATACACTAGACCTCTTTGTCCCAGACCCAACTGATTCTTGGTCAGGGGATATACCTGTAAACATCAAAGGGTGTTAAAATTACCAATACAGTTCTTCTTTTGGTGGAAAGTAAAATCAGTCATTCATTAGTTAAATGAATCACAATTACTGAACTACATCAAGAATAATCACATGACAAAAAATACAGAAATAATGGACAAACGGACATACAAATAGCGAAGCAGGCATTGCAAACAGAAAATAGATGCCATCTTTACCCATAGCTAAATTACGAAGGTGTCAGTTATCATCACATACTGAGAGTAAGGTTAAAATGGGAAGATATGTCTTGCTAATTTCTCCAAGGCAACATTAAATGCAGCCTCTAATCTCCACTCAATCTCTATTTCTGTAACATGCTGCCCATTTGGGCTTTGAAATTTATAAGCACAAGTATGTAAACACCTCAAAACCAGAAAATTTGTTTAACTGCATTGCGTATCATGCGGACTTGTAAAATTTCCAGAATTCAATCTTAAATCTATATTCTTTCTAAAATTTCAAACATAAGCAGTTCTCTGGAATAAAATAAACACAGCAGGATATGACAGGATAATTATTTTTATTTTCAGGCATACCAACTGGCTTCCAAAAGCCACATCGGGCCCTATCTAAATCTAAACTGAGTCATGTAAGACCACACGAGTGAAATACTCCCCTCGTGATAATTTTCCCCCTCCTTAAACCCAATACCTAACTTAAGAGAAACAAATGCCAAACCACTTGTATCAACTGCCATTGGTAAAAGAATAAAGTTTTCCGATGGAGGAAAACTTGACACCACAGCTACGTCTATGATCACAACAAGAAACATTAAGCATTTTGTTCCCACAGCTTCAATTACTTCCAAATCATTTCACCTCAGTCTACTCATCATTCTACACAGCGCAGTATACCAAGTTAGAGACATAATACACAATGGCATTAGAGTAAGTAGAAGAAATTAACTACCGTATAGTCCTCGTTACCACATATTGTTAAACAAAATGTTTCATGAAATTTTCAAATGGAAGAGTTATTGCAGTTATAGACTTATAGTAGAAAGGTGATGAGACAATCTCAATATTTAATACCCTACAGGTGCAAAAGTAAAATCCTTTGGACATTAGTTTATCTGCTCACTTTGGCAAACAAACTCTGAGCTGCGCAGCTATCAACTGAGGATAGTGAACTCAACTCATACGACTCGGAATTCAGTGAGACTTCACGCAGCCTCTTCGACATTGTTACACTTGATATCTTATTGACTTGAGTTTTTTTATTCCTTCGCTTCGAGAAAGAAAATGGGATTACGGACACAGAGGATTGTCGACATTCACAAATAGAATAATTATCGCACAAAGCCAAACTCCCGGAAGTAAAGAAACCTTTCTTCTGCCTACATTAAAGAGCTGTTTCATGCTGATAATTCCAAGCAGGAAATCATCAACCTTCTGCGATACTGTCTGAGTCTAACTAAAACCAAAAGCACTATAGCCCAAAATGCCCAGCAGAGTCAACTAAAAGTTACAGCCAAAAACAAACATGGACTCAAATTCAGTACCTAGGGTAGTTTCTAATTCTAGAACAAAAACAAGAGAATGCAGGAGAAGTTCAATTCAAACGAACCCACAGAAATTGATGGCGAGAGTTTTCAAAAGACGCGAATTATCGACAGCAGATAGCAGAAGGTAATGGGGAGTGAGATAAGTGGATCGTGCTACAGATGAAGTCAAATTGCGTCAAAAGGAGTGGCAACGGAAAGAGAACTTAGGGTTCCGAAAGATAAGAAGATGAAGATGAATCATATGCTCATACCTCGCATTTTTTTGGGGTCACGCTTGTTGGTACGAAGCTTTCAGATCCTCCTTCCGCTGGCGTTGCGGGTTAAAAAAAACATACGCTTCTCTCTCCCTCGCGCCTGTCCCCCCAGTTGTTTTTCTTTTTTTCCTTTTCAAAATCCAATCTTCAGTTTTCTTTTCTATTCTATTCTGCTAATACAGTACGCTGTAAAGAAAATAATTCAACAAGCCCTGACTCTGACCCAGTTCTCTTCCCTTCTCTTTTCTATTCTTTCCTGTGTCGGGAGGAAAAAATCAATAATTAATAATAATTTAAAATAAAAACATTACTTTTCTTGCATGAAAACGATATTTTGTTCCTTCTCGTGAAGGTATCCCTGTATTTTGTTTGCTCATCTCTCAAGAGGAGCTTTCATGATGTGAATTGGGCCAGCCAGCGGCGTTAAACAAAAGAGATGCCTTTGGGAGAAACCGATGAGGTGCAGGGTAATAATGACTTTACCACTGGAATAATGGGCATTTCTATAAGAATTTTAAATAAGGTGACATGGAAAAAATAATTGAGTTGATTAATGACGCTCGATTTTTCTAGTTAGTTCCCTTTTTTTTTTTGTCCATCTAGTTTACCGGAGTTTTGTTCTGATTATATCTGGATCTGACCCGCGACTCAAACTTGAGATCTCGTTTAAGCAATACCAAACTACTTTATCACTTAGACCAACCCCGTTATTTAGTTAGTTCCCGTTTAATTCAGGAATGTGTATTGGTCATTGGCTTCTTGATTTTATTACAGGAATGCATTAAAAAAATGTCGTGCATCGATGACATTGCCTTTTCGCGTAAATAAGAAGTAAAATGGGCTATGGATTCCATCTGCCTCTTTGCAGGCGTTGTCGCGCCGGTGGTCCTAGTTGGCTCTTTGCGTGTGACTGAAAAAATTGTTTATATATATATATATATTTTAAGAATAATACAAATTTTAGTCCTTTAAATTTATTTTTATTTTAGTTTTAGTCTCTCAAATTTTAAATTATAGATTTTGGTTCCTCAAATTTCTTTTCATTTGAAACATTAGTTCTTATAATCCAATAAAAATTTAAACTATTTTATCCCTTGAGAGACCAAAACCTATAATTTGAAATTTGAGGGACTAAAATCAAAATGAAGACAAATTTAAAACACTAAATATTATATTAACTTTTTTTTAATTAAAGATCATTCTATCCAAAATAGTATTGAATAAACATTTTTTAAGTGAAGATTCATATTTTAATTCTCAAAATATAAAAAGGTAAGGAATAAAGTGTCTTAATTAGTTTTTTTGGTCAGGGCTTATACTCCACCATGGTTTAAGAGTGTGAACCTCTACTCCTCTTACTAATAAAGTTAATGTGAATTATTTACTTTTTAGGAAACTAAATTAATTAAATTATTTATTTACATAAACATGTATTTAATTTGTTTAAAATATTTTATTTAATCATTTACATCAAAAAATATTTAATGAATAGAATTCCTTAATACGTATAATTAAAAATACGTATATAAACTTGGAAGAGAAAGGAATGTCCATTATTTTTATTACTCACGTGCCAACCGGGCTTCACATGCACAGAGAAGGGAGAACTTGCACTGGATCTTTTATTTTTTTGATCTGGCACTGGATCGAGTCCAAAGTGCAGCGGGCTCAGGTGACTAATTAACTTGGGCCCCAAGTGGCCCAACAATGAACTCCGCGGAAGAAGCAGCTGTGGCCCCTGGCACCTTCACTTCACTTGGTCGCCGGTCTCTGTGGAGTCAGAAACCAGAGCAACTTCGAGCGCATATAGATACCGGTAGTGACGATCAAATCCCTAAATTGGATCCAGACTTGTGTTGAGTCGACATGGCTTCCGGTATGTGTTGCTTTATTGATTCTCGATATGATGCGAGGGTTTAATCGTTCTTCATGTTTCGTGCCCTCGAAATTATTATCGCCATTGCTGTGGTTCCAAAGAAGCTTTTTTTTTTTTCTTCAAAATTTTAGGATACTTATTTTCTATCTCGACCATCTACCCGATTCCTGTTACGACTTACGAGTGCTTTGAACTGAACCTGGAAACTTCTGGGATACTTTGGCCGCGGCCGAACGTGTTAGTGTTTATGCATGGCACTAGTGTTTTCATTTGTGTCAATAGGTGATGACGAGTCGTGGTTGATATGGTATAGGAGATCCTACCTTTGTTGATGTCACTCTGTGCCATCTAAATTATTGAAAACAGTGGAGGGTAAAGGTGGGGAAATTCAAATACAGGCCGGTGATACAATGCCAATTTGGATTATATCTTGCCATCTAATGTATGGAGATTGTTAGTCCCAGAAAGTAGCTGGTTTTGCTTCTTTGTTCTTTGAAGTATTCTTAACCTTCGAGACGTTGTCAAATATGGACTTGCATCGCTATAAGTTCTGGTTTCCTTATCCTCACTTGCCAAAGAATAATTCAGTTTGCGCTTCTTTTATTCTGTAGATGCCGATATGGAGGACTACGGATTTGAGTACTCAGAGGAGGAGCCAGAAGAGCAAGACGTTGATATTGAGAATCAATATTACAATTCAAAAGGTATGCCCGAAAATATATTAGTCGATTCTTATGACCGTTCATGAGTAAGGAATTTTTTGGTTAATCTTGGGCTTTAAGTAATGCATGAGTCCGATGCAATAAAATTGATGCTATCTACTCTTGTAAAAACTTGCTGTTTTGTCTTGGAGCTGTACTTTTTGCTTGCTTATATTCTCGTCAATAACTCAGTACGTGGTAAACATTCTTCTGTGGCAACTTGGGAAAGTTGAACTAGTTCACATGGGGGTATCAACATTATTGTTGAATTTACTAGTCAAATAAACCGATTTGTTCATTTGACATTAGATCTTGCAGTGAACAAACTCGATTGCAAGTTGTTGTGACCATTTCTCATGTAAGCATCATGATTAATTTGTCACATCCAGAAACCACTTTGTTATCCTGCTGATGTATTGTTAATAATGGCATAGCATTTTTTTCCTTGTGAAACTAATCGTAAAATGACCTGATAAATAGCACTTAACAGTTTATTTCTTTATGATCTTGGAAGTTTAGGGTTCTTATGGTTGTTATTTTAGGGCTGCTTTATCTTTTCACACTTGTTTATTTAGGATAGTAATATTTCTGCTGTATGTAGGTTTGGTTGAAACTGATCCCGAAGGGGCACTTGCTGGTTTTGCTGAGGTAGTTCAAATGGAACAAGAAAAGGCAGACTGGTAGGAAATCCATGCTCTGAGTGATGCTTATAAAGAAGGATAGGGAAGTAGAAAAGAAGAGCAATATCAATATCACTGGTTGCATCTCCTGTGGTTCTTCTTTGTATCAATTCGTGATCTATGGCTGCTTTTCTTTGTTTTCAGTCAGTTGCAATTTTTTTTTCTTTCCTTTTGGTTGTCTCTCCAAATATTTACTAGCTGTATAATTCTGGTTGCACTATTAACTGTTGTGCTTTTCTGAATTCATCCCTATCTTCTGAGTTTAATTCTCATTCAGCAAATATTATTTTTGTTGAGCCTTAAGCATTCCACTTGATCTTCTCCTCCTCTGTATTTGTTATTGATAGTTACTTTTTTCCTTTTAACCAGCATAATATATCCTTTGAGAATTGCTAGTATTCATGCGTGCCTTTTTTGTCTTAGCTCATCACATTTTGATATATATATATATATTTTTTATTTTTTAATAAACAATTACTTATGTTATACCTATTTCACATTCCATTAGGGGATTTAAAGCTCTCAAACAAACTGTCAAGATTTATTATCGACTGGGAAGATATAAGGAAATGATGGAATCCTATAGGGAGATGTGACTTATTAATTAAGTCAGCAGTGACTCGAAACTATAGTGAGAAATGTATCAATAGCATCATGGACTATGTCTCAGGTTCAGCTAGCCAGAACTTCAGCCTTTTGCAGGAATTTTACCAAACAACTCTGAAAGCCCTTGAAGAAGCAAAGAATGAGGTTAGGCAATTAGACATTATCTCTGTTGCTTTTTATGCCTTGCACCTCCCATTTTGTGATCCCACTTTTGTGCTTGTCACCCATCATGCAGAGAGATTGTGGTTCAAGACAAATCTGAAGCTCTGCAAGATTTTCTTCGATATTGGTGAATATGGACGAATGAGTAAGGTGTAATGTTTATTTCATAAGAATCCAACAAAATCTTGATGTCTGTGCCTGATGTTACAAGCATCTATGAGCATTTAATAATTCAATGATTCACTGGACCTGATTAGATATTGAAGGAACTTCATAAATCTTGTCAAAGGGAAGATGGCACAGATGACCACAAGAAAGGAACCCAACTTTTGGAGGTATATATGCATAGAGATTCAGATGTATACGGAGAGACCAAAATAACAAAAAACTCAAGGTTAGAATTAAATAAAAATTCTTCATCGTTTGGCTTGTTTGGCTTGTT